CACGGTCCGACTTTGGAAATGATAATGCATACAATGGACTCCGAACTAGGTGCGTTCCTCTAAGTTCTCCAACCAATATGACCAAGTTGCGAAAACAAGGTCATAGTACTTCTATAAAATTGCTTAAGTTTTTGGATAGCAAAGCTAGACTCAAGAATGATCTGAATCGGATTTTCATTCAGGAGGATTTCTGAAGCTACATAAGATGACAAACAAAATGTCGAAAAAGATCTGATACTTGAGCGAAACAAAATAAAGGAAGAAATTGAATTAATATGGGATATATATGCAGCTCAGGGTCCAGCTACTTGGCAAAAACTAAGATGCTTCCAGAGTTAAGAATCTCACAGTCCAGTTAGGAGATCAAGTTAAAGTAGAGAATCTAGCTTTTATCAATCTTGACCAAAAAAACCATGGCAATCTACAAGAAGGGACTAAATTCAGCACTTGTAAACGAAACGAAGGCAATTAAGGACATTTAAATGGAGGTGATGAATACTTCTGAGAAGCTACCGGAAGAATCAGAGCTCGAAATGGAAATCATCCCAACAAACTTGACGCATCGAAAACCCATGGATAGGAATAATACAGACAAAATATAGATATAATTGAGAGTAAACGATTAAATAGTTCTACAAGCCGGCAAAGGTGCCATAGTAGTGATGGGCAGGAAATAATATAAATATAAAAAGGAAAATATTATCGTGGATATAACAACTTATCGACTTTTAACAAAAGATCCGACACTTAAAATCAAGAAGGCACTGCAAGAAATTGTTGAGAAAATGAATACGAACGGGGATTCGATAAATGGACATGAAATTCACTCCTACGAAAGGATGCAAGAGCCCCTGTAGCACACGATTTGCCGGAAGTACAAAAGGAAGGAGAACCATTTAGACTAATAGTCAACAACAAACACGGAGCAACAGATAAAGTGGTGAAATTTATGTCTCAAACTAAAAAAAGTTAATGACAGATTATCGAAGAATCAAAGACATCAGTTTAGATAGAAGCGAACAATTGATGAGCTTTAATGTGCAGTCCAGTCTCGGAAGAAAAATTGCTCATGGCACTACTAGAGATCTTGGAAAGATAAGACGATATCCCGGAGACAGAGCGAATTGGAGTAGAATCTCTAAGCCGATTAATCATCATTAAAATAGGAATTACCTATTTCAATTTCAATGGCCATATATATAAAATAATTTCTGAGATACAGGAAGGACAATCAGCATGGGGATCAAAGAACATCAGGGATTCTGTCGAATAGAGATAGTGAAGAAAAAATTGCTGTTATTACTCTTCTTTCATAGTCCCCGTTCTGCCATCGGCTTTTAACTGCCTGTATGTTTCTTTGTCTTACTTCGCTTGGGTCGCCGTTGCCGAGGAATATCCAAGTCAATTTGTCCAA